GGGGTCTTCCCACAGAAAATTTTTAATAAAGTAGATATGATTTCCTACATTTTGGTATATTTTAATGAGTTATTAAACATCTACGTGCTTGTAAAAAATATATGTATAGATATTTTTTGTGGACCCCGAAGCAGTGGAAGCTGGTGAAGTTTTTTCCAGGGGGGCTAACGCCAAAATAGACACATATACATATGCACCTGTCTGTCTTTCTGTCTGTCTGTCTAAATACACACACATATATATATATACATATATATAGTCGCACATATATATACACATACAGTAGTCTCTCTGTACTTCTCAGTTTGTTTATCGCGGACTTGTTCTATCGCGGTTTTTCAAAATGAGATTGGCCATGACACACAATTGGCTGATTGATGGATGAGCCACAAGATCGGCATGGAATTTTTATTTAAAACAAATTGTTTAGAATTATTTAGCACCTGCTGCACCTTTGTGCAGCCCAGAGCTTCAGAAAAAGCTTCCTTCAGCTTTGTGCAGCCCATTTATCACAGAGCCCAATACAATAACCTGTAGGCTAGTGCTAGCATGCTATCTCCAGAAAAAACAAAAAATACCTCACCAGTTCCCACTTTTAGAATACACAGCCAGCTGAAGGTTTTTTCACAAACAGAGACATCTAAAAGTTGAGAGGCGTATCAGTCAGAAATGGCAACATAGACATTAGATAAAGGGCTTTCAGTGGTTTCAAACCTACCTGCAGCAGCTAACCTCTCTTACACATAGCCTGGCTGTGAGTGTCCACAATCTGATCCAGAAGCATGATCAGTACCGTGCATTCAGCTCTGGGCGCAGGAGAGGAGCGCCCAGAATGGTCCTATCTTGTAAGGAAGAGGAGCTAACTGTTCATGTACAACTTTTAACGAGAGTCTATGGGCAAAGATTTTTGCGCCTCAGGGCAGAAATACGTCACCAATCAGAGATGAAATTTTTGAAAGAAACAACTTTACTCATCCTTAACTATAAAATGTTTATCTTACACAACTAAAAATATATATATTTCAATTTTTTATTTATTTTATTATTTCATTTTTATTAAAATGTATATGTCTTATTCACAGTAATGTGATGAGTGGTGGGGCGGCGCCCTGGTGCCCTCTATTGGCCAGCCACCACTGCCCCGAAGCACTGACTTGCGGACCCTCGGGGGTCCGGGGCCCCTAGGTTGAGAACCACTAATCTAGGGTGCTCAGGGGAACAGATGGTGGGGGTTAGGGGCCTTCCTCGAGGGCCCAGAGTGGGGCAAATGAGGGTGGAGGCAGGTGTGTGTGCTTCACCTTTCCCACATATATTTTGATGTTGTCAGTCTGGGGAGTTGAACCGACGATCTTCCGATCGCAGGCTCACATTCTCTAACCTAAGCACTACCACTCCTCTAAAAGGAGCAGAAACTAACGTTAGCAAAACATTATTCAGAAGTACTCAAACAGATGCTAAAGCTAACATCAGCAAAACAACTACAATGAGCTAAAGCTGTAGCTCGATGCTAAATGAGGCAGAACGTTAGCCAAAAGCTAAACGAAGACAGTCAGTCACAGATTAGCCGGCCTCGTCTAAAACGTTTAAAATATGAACTCACGCGCTGAATAAATTGTGACAAGGACTGGATCTGGCAACAAACCTTCAGCTTGACGCACGTGTTTTAGAATAAAACCTCTTAAAATCAATTTCAGAAGCTAACAGTGTCCTTCGAGCAGATCAGGCCCACTCAGAGGCGTTCAACGGCTCTAATGGACCCAAACACGAGTGTTTTACACCAACTCCAGCCCAGCTGCTGGCTCCAACACCGTCGGCATCCGAGCCAAACTTGTTCAGAGCTCCAACTTACTTGAAATACACCAAAAAAAAAAAAAAAACAAAGAAACGCCTCTTCAGGTTGTTTAATGTTGACACCCTTCCCTGGATGAGCAGCAGAAAACTGTGTGGCTATACGGCGATTCATTTTCACAGCGCGCCATTAATAAAACATGCGGGACGATTTTAAGAGCATTAGAAGTTTGATTGCTTCGGGGCAGGCCTGGGGGACTTTCAGGACACTAATTATTTATATAAATGAAATGTCATCTCAGCTCTGGCTCAAGCTGACTTTAACCCCGGCAGAAGCAAACACCGTACGGTACAATGGCAGCCATCTTTTACAGCTCGGGCAACGATGTTGGTGAGAGCAGCACTTTGACCCGAGTGCACAAAATCAGCGTGTGATGTTCCATAAAAATCGTCTTCAAAGCAGCAGCAGTGGAAGACACTGAGGTTCACACACGCTCCCTCAGCTGCGAGCGGCTCCTTGATCCTCCTGGTTTCCTCAATAATACATCAGTGTCTCCATTATAGCTTGTATCTGCAGGCCTGTGGGCAAAAAGCAGTTTAAGGCCGGCTGCAATGGACCAACGTCCCCTGGTTGTGGACACGGGAAAGGTTTTAAGTCCAAAGTGTTGCCTCTGAGGAGACATGCATCCCTCGTGTTAGAACGTCAAAAAAAAACCCGAAGACGCCTCAAAGCAACATCCAACAACATGAAGCACGACCCGACGCTGAGATGGAAGTTTTGTCCAAACCAACGAAGGACAAAATGTCCAAATTCAGTCTTTTTTTTTTCTGGAGTCAAATCTTCAGCTCTTCAGCAGATTCCTCACACTATTTACAGGTGTAGCATTTCTTCGTGCACGTTTCCCATTGTTTATGGCGGATTTTACACTAAGACAATTGTATGTAAAAAAAAAAAAAAGTTAGATCTTGAAAAAAATAATAATGCATGTTTGTATGCAATATGTTGCTCGTTCTGTAAGTACTTGGAGTATTTGTTGGGGACAGCTCTCAGCTACAGCTAGGCTAAATCTTACCTCAATATTTCCAAAATTGTCTGAATTATGAACATTTTCGCGTGTCCTAAATTAGGTAAGCTGTGGCGGCTATTTTAAATTAGTTAGGCTCCAAAAGACAACCAGATGAAGATATACACCTTTTGATGACTTCCTGAAAATTTCATTGAAATCGATGCAGTGATTCACAAGATATTTTGCTAACAGACAGCCATCTTCTACTCCAAATGGTAAAAGCTAAAAGTTTGAACAAGCGATGTACGCAATCGGACAACGCTCAAAATATGTTTGGGAGATCGGCCTCAGCTACAAACACACCAAACTTTAACTCAATATCTGTAAAGCTGATTGATTTATAGCAATTTTTCTGTTTTTTAAGTTTGGCTAGCAGCGGCGACCATATTGAATCAGGTTCACTCTAAAAATTAATCAGTTGTAGCTGTGCATCCAGTGACTAATTTCTGAGCGTTTCATTAAAATCCATGCAATGGTTCATGAGATATTTTACTAACAGACACACTAAAAATACTGTTAGTAGCAAAATTAATAAAAAGGGATCCATTCCTTTACCTTTACTTGTTTTATTTAATCTGTGTCTCGCCACAGAAAAGAAAAACTAACCGAGAGTCCAAAAATAGACTGATATAATGTACACGAGCAGACAGGAGTGTTTTAGTGTTGCAGAGGTTAAATGTTTAGTTTTGATCGGGCACAAAGTGACATCATCAACGAGCCGTCCACTCCAGGAGAGCTGCTCACATGAATATTGCTGTGGGATTTGCTTAAAGTCACTGCTTCATTATGCAGTGTTTAATATTAATAAAGTATAAGTATCTATTATTTATAAGCTATTCATAGTGTGTTCGGTGTGTGTGTGTGTGTGTGTGTGTGTGTGTGTGTGTGTGTGTGTGTG